CAAACACAGTGGGACACACAGGAGTCCCCACGGGAGACATTCAGTCGCTCTCCTCTGTCCCCCAGACTGAAGGAGGACGCCAAGAAGACCATAGAAGCGCTGGGAAGCAAAGAAATCAGGAACATGCGGTTCAGGTCCAGCTGGGTGTTTCTTACAGCGAAGGGCTTTGAACTCCCTGCAGGAATCGAGAGAGAGAAGGTGAGTGGTTGTCGTCACTGTTTTGTAAAAGTATAGTTGATATACGATATTACATTAGTTTCAGGTGTACAATATAGGGATGCAGCATTAATACACCGAACAACGTGCTCACCACACGCAGTCTAGTAACCATCTGTCACCATGCCAACGTACACAGGGTGCGTGGTTTTTAAATGTCCCTTCCCACAGGTGGTTAGGGTAGCAGGGGCTGTCATCTGAAAGGTTGCCAGTCGGTTACTACTCCCCGTCTCTAACTACTTCCCTGCATAGAGTATGTGCCGCCAGGGCCATGTGGGGGGTGGGCACCTGGTCTGAGTGCTCGCCCCTCCACTCAGGGCTCCTCGTTCCTACATCTGGGAAAATCCCACCTTCCACTCAGTAGGTGCTGGGTGTGTCATGGGTGAAACCGTCGGTGCTGAGAACGGAACCCTTCCCCTTAGATCAGCATTAGATCGGCATTGGGCCTCGGGTTCAATTCCTTGGTTGCAGGCTCCTCCCCTGGTCAGGACTCGGGCGGGAGACAACCGATGGATGTGTTTCTCTCACATCGATGTTTCTCTCTCGTTCCCTCTCTCTTCCACTCTCCCTAAAAGTCAATGGAAAAATATCCTTGGTGAGGGTTAACAAAACAAAAAAGTAGAAAATTCTCAGTGGGCTGTTGAGACTGATTGCATCACCCTGGGGCCAACACAGGCCTCTCTGCTTTGCCTCCGCGCAGGGAAGGGAACGGTGCTTACTGCTAACGCGGCTCAGAGACCACCGCGCCTGTGCGCCCAAAGCATTTAAAATAATTGGGCACCAGCTCTAGCCGGTTTGGCTCACTGGGTGGAGCGTTCGCCCATGGACTGAACGGTCCTGGGTTCGATTTAAGTACCTCGGTTTCAGGCTCCACCCCCGGCCTGGTTGGGCTTATGCTGGAGGCAACCAATCGATGTGTCTCTGTCACATCCATGTTTCTCTCTCCGCCCTCCCTCCCCTTCCTTTCACGCTCTAACAAATCAATGGATTAACAAAATAACACGGAGGGGCAGGCACCAAACACTGCATAAAGGTAGCTCTCATTGTAACTTGTTCATGATTGACTTGAAGGCCTGTCGTTTATCGAAGAAAAGTAAACAGCAAAGGACTGGCATTCTCATGCGTTAGCCCCACGGCCTGTGAAAATCGCAGCTGAGGGTTGGGGACATGTCATGGGATTTATGAGCTGACGCCTCTGGGGACAATGGCACAGCCTCTTTCAGATGGTGCTGCTCTCGGATCCGGGGCCAAAACACTGGGGCTTCGGAAGTGGGAGCTGGCTGCCTGCCAAGGGGTGAGCCCTCCGGCCCTTCCTGGGCGAAGGGGCTCCTTTCCTCGAGCTAGGAATTCAAAGAGGCAGAGATGTGCGTGTCCACATGTTGCTTCTGACTCCGGGCGAGGACGTTTGGCCCCAGTCCCCTGCTTGCGCTGTCTGCATGGTGACGGGTCTGGGAAGGAAGACAGACAGAAGCAGGTGGACCCAGCTGGTGTGGCTCAGTGGTTGAGCATTGACCTATGAACCAGGAGGTCAGGGTTCAATTCCCGGTCAGGGCACATGCCCTGGTTGCGGGCTCCATCCCCAGTAGGGGGCGTGCGGGAGGCAGCCGACTGATGATGCTTCCATCTGTCTCTCCCTCTGCCTCTCCCTTCCTCTCTGAAATCAGTGAAAACATTTTTTAAAGAAACAGAAGCAGATGGGTGGCGGGGCCTCTCCACTGTTGGCAGGACCACCGAGGTGGAGAAGGGGGCTGGATGGGTGCGATCTCGGTGCAGCCACACAAACAGGTAACTCGTGACAGGCGCCCAGGGACAGCCCAGGAGCTCCTCGGATGCCCTGCAGTCGCCCCCTGGACGCTCGGAATCCCTGGGGATTTTAGCAGGCACCTAAAGCACACGTTTTCTCTTTGTAACTCCCTATTCCTCCTCCCCCAGGAAGCCAGTCCCATAGAACACGCCAGGAGCGTTTACCCGGGGCCACTGCCCGGACCACCCATTGCTAATGATCGGTTCGGACACCCAGTGTGCTTGAGGCCTCATGGGCTTGTCCTAACGAGTGAGCATGGCCTGGGCTCTGTGTGGTGGCTCTCCCGGGACCCACTGCCTGGACCTGCCGGGGGTGAGGGGTGCCCGGTGCGGCTGGGAGAGGGGCTTGGTGTCCAGGGTCAGATTTGCGGGGGCCACAAGTGATGCTGAGCACGCTGCTTCGTCTCTCTGGGCTTGAGTTTTCTGATCTGTGTAAGGAAGTGAAAGCTGGGTGATTCTTCAGCTGTGAAGTGGGCATGTGCTCCATTTGCCCTTGGCCTTCCTCAGGCTGCCTCTGTGGAGTGATACAGGGCCCCCTTCTCCTCCACCCTGGCGCGGTCAGTACCGATCTGGCATCTTACGGATCTCCAGGCTTTATCTACCGCTTTATCTACCGGCTGTCTGGCCTTAGGCAAGTTACGTCACCTCTCTGTGCCTCAGGATCATCCCCTGGGGGAAGGGATAAGGCCAGCCCCTATCATGTGCGAGTCAATGAGGACGAAGTGAGAGCAACATATGGGGCTCCGCAAGGAACTGAGCCAAGAGCCCAGTAACCAGAGCAACCGGGCCTTCCCGGTGCTTCCGGCTCCTTCCAGCTGGCCCGCCCCACCTGCCCTTCCCCCCTAAGCTCCTTACACAACACCGGCGCCCAGGCCAACTGAGCTGGGACCCCAGAGGCGGGGATTCTGATTTTCAGGGAGGGTGCACCCATCGCACTGATTTTCCTGAGAAAATGGAGGCCCCATCTCATGTGCACATTCAAATTCCCCCTTCATAGCCCTGCCGCCTTTTTTATAGAAATTGACAAGTGGATCCTGAAATTCACGTGGAAATTCAAGCGATCCAGAGAGCCAAAAGAGTTTTGAGAAAGAACTACGTTGAGGACTCACACTTCCCAATTTCAAAACTCACTACAAAGCCGCAGTAATCAAGCCGGTGTGGTACTGGCATGCAGCACACATACGGACCCAGGAAATAGAATCCGGCATCCAGAAACAAAACCTCACTTTTTTTTTTTATGTGCCTCAGGCATGAAACAGCTCTGGCCACCGACACAGGCATCAAGCTAGGATGAACTAAGGACTGTACATCTGCTTTGCCCCTGACTGATATAAGAGCAACACCACCAATCAGGTGTCTCCTTGCCCATTGCCAGGGGGTCAAAACCTCACTTTTATGGTCAATGATTTTTGACAAGGCTGCCGGAACCACTGCATGGGGAATGATGTTGAGACAACTGGACACCCAAGTGAAAAAAAAATGAATTTGGAGTCCTACCTCACACCATATGTGGAAATTAAGTCAAAATGAGTCAAATGACTAAATATAGGTAGAAGAAAATGAAGCCATAAATCTTTATGACCTGGAATTAGGCAATGGTTTCTTAGCTACAACACCAAAAACATGAACGAAAAAAGAAAAAATGAATAAATTGCATTTCATCAAAACTTAAAACTTTTGTGCATCAACAGATGCCACCAAAAAAAAAAAGTGAAAAGGAAGAAAAAATATTACAAATGAAGGGCTTATACCCACAATGTATAAAGAACTCTCACGACTCAGTAATAAAAAGACAAATAACCCTATTTTAAAGTGGGCAGAGATCTGAATGAACTTATCTTCAGGGGACAGTAAACACACAAGAAGATGCTCCTAATCGGCCACTAGGACAATGCAAACGGAGGCCTCAATGAGGTACCACCTCACCCTCACGCGGAGGGCTGTAATTTTTTAAAAAATCGTAAGAAGTGTTTACAAGGATGTGGCGAATGTAGAACCTTCAGACACTTTCGAAAAAAAATCTAAAAATACTGCTGCTTTGGGAAATATTCTGGCTGTTCCTCAAAAAATTAAACATGTAGTTACCATGTGACCCAACAATCCCACTCCTAGATATACTGTATACCCAAGAGGGCGAAAACATGTTCACACAAAATCTTGTACGTGGATGTGCATAGCAGCCTTATTCATAAAAAACAAAAAGTAGGAATAGCCCACATGTCTTATTAATATATAAAAATATATTTTTAAAAATGGGTATAGCCATACCTGGAATATTATTCAGCCATGTAAAGAAATGAAATCCTGATACATGCTACAACATGGATGGACCTTGAAAACATGCTAAGCCAAGAAAACCAAACACAAAAGACCACATACTGCTCATTTCATTTCCTAGTATATGAAATTTCTGGAACAGATGAAACCTGTAGAGACAGAAAGTGGACTGGTGAACGCCTAGGGCTATGGGGACAGGGAATGACTGTGTATGGGTCCGTGGTTTCTTTTTCAGGTGAGGAAAATACTCTAAAATGGACCACGATGGTTGCATATCTGTGAATATACTAAAAACCATTGAAGTGAACACATTGGGTGTATTTTATAGTATGTAAGTTCTATCTCAAAGATGTTAAATAAAAAAGATAGACAACTAGAATTCCAACATTTGGAATGCATATTATTCCTTCTAAGCATTAAGTTAAGACACTCCATTATCTGCGAAAGAACTGAAGGTATAAAGGACTAACCACGCATCAATACGGACACACATTGCTGAGCTAGGAATTCTGCAGTAACATATATGAGTAGTCCTACTCCCAAAGAATGAAAACTAAATGTTAGAGCTATGCTGTTCAATACAGCAGCTACGAACCAAATTTGCATTTACATTTATTAAACGTACTACATTTATTGAATTTGCATTACATTTATTAAAGTTAAATAGAACTTAAAATTCAGTTCCTCACTCACACTGGACACATAACAAGTACTTGACAGCCAAGCATGGCTAGTGGATACTCTATTGGACAGTGTTGATCACAGGACACTTACATCATTGCAGAAAGTTCCGGAGCTTCATTAACACCTGGGTCACATTGTATTAGGAAGCACGTTGAGAGAAAATCAAGTACCCAGAGTGGGTTGGGGCAAAACCCATTCTAGGAAGTGACTAATCCTAGAAGGGAATTTGTCAGCTATAGGACTTTGCTCATAAATGACACATTAAATATTTGTGGATTAGCAAATAAATACAATTCTTTTCTTTCCTCTGCACAGATCAACCACTCTGATGCTGCAAAGAACAGATACCCGGGCTGGCCTGCAGAAATACAGATAGACGGCTGTGTACCGAAAGAGCTAAGCTAACATTGTGCAGACTTAATAAATGTGTGTATTTTTATAGACAGATGAATCATGGAATGGCCCACGAATCTTATCAAACAGTCAATATTTGATTTTATGGGTTTTGTCGTCAACCAGCCAATATTTGCTACGTGCATGAAATCTTGGCACACAGTGTTTTTATGCCAATATTTATACAGTGAAAATATTAATGAGCAGGAAGACTAAAATGAATGGAAATTGTTCAATGAAGGGGGTTTAACCTGGAACGGAGAGCGTTGGGGGAAGTAACCCCTGCTTGTGAGTGTGGAGTTATTTTATGATCAGATCTAAGCTTGACCCTATAGTCAAGAGAGAAAGCCTTGATTCCATGATCATCGAGCACACCCTCTTACGGGACAGTCATCTCCCAGGAGAAGGAGCAATGGTCAGAGGGCGTGGCAAAGCTGCCCTGGTCAGTGCCAGTTGAGCCCTTGAACTCTTCCAGTGGGTGCGTGAGTTTACTCTTTTCATGGACAAACCTGGGCACGTCCTGCCTTTGGCCACTGGGGGTGCAGGGACACAGCCTCTGCCTTCCTGCAGGGGTGTCACTGCCAGAGCCCCGACGGCCTGGAGGGTCTGGGCTCAGGAGGACAACTGTACAGTGCACGCCAGGCTTTCCAGAGGCGCATCAAGAGCCACATATGGGAGATACGCACGCTCTGAGAAGCGTGTCCCATGATGCATCTGATTTGGGACGAAGACCATCGGGTCATGGCCAAGAGCTCATTCTAACCGTCTTTCCAAGCCTGGCTACCAGAAAAGCGAGGGGACTTTGGTGCCAGGGTAATATCGCTTCTCTGAGCCTCCAGTTCCTCATGTGTCAGATGGGAGAATTAGGGTAGAAGAATGAGCCCAAGCATTTTTATCAGCAGTAATCCTTTGAAAAACATGGTAGCACATGGCAGCCTGGATTTCAGCATCCTGGCCATATCAAACCATCCAACCTCAGTGGCTTACAACAGCACTGATTTCTCCCTCAGTAGTTACACCTGGGCCACCGCGCAGCTGCGACTGGGCCCTGAGCACTCAGCCAGGCCGGAGGAGGGTCCCCGTCAGGCACAGAAGCCAGAGAGCAGAATGCACATGCCCAGGACTCCGTGTGAGCCCCACCTCCTCACACCTGTCGCCAGGCCCAGCCTGGGGCGTGTCCACAGTGTGGCAGTGGGTGCGGTAAATATCCATGATACAGGACTACAATGACTATGGGGTGTGTGTTTTTTTTACTTTTATTAGCATGCATTTGATTCTGAGTTTACTCCCGCGCCATAGTTTTTATTTCCTCAATTTCTCCCGGGGCATCTTTTTCTTCTCTGCCACCTCCTCTGCTAGTCCAGGGACCACCTGCTCTTTCCAGTGGGACCCTCTCAGGGCGGCAGGGAGAGCTTGTGTGGGTGCATCTGGCCATGAGCTCTGTAAGTTGGGAGCTTTGTCCACCTGGATGTCCTCAATGACTAGAGAATCTACATCTCAACCCTCAAGTCCAGCATTGCTCTCCGCACTGTGAAGTACGTGCAGCAAAAATTCAGCACCCTTTTTGGGCCACCGACCCTGTCCGGCCCCGCTGTTTGGCCGGGGCACACCTACCAGCTCCACCGTCGTCACGACAGAATGGTACCTACCCATTGCTTCTAAAAAGGAACATCCTTCAGAGACTTGGTGGCTCTTGGATATGCCTACCCTGATGGCCTGGCCAGTTTCACGAGGGTCCTCACAATGGACATGAAGATTTGAACCTCCGGATCTGCAGGGGTTTGGGGGGTTTTCTGGGTCAAGCGAAGAGTGAGCCACCTGTAGAGGTCTCCTCTGGCCGTTCGGGAAGAGCAGGAATACAAGGCCTGTGAACCCAACACAGGGCTAGGGGCCCTGAGGAAGGGGCTGCTGGCTGTCCGGCCTGGGCAGTGGGCCCTCAGGCGCTGGGGCCCCTCCCCGCAGAACAGTCTGCAGACCAACGCCTGAGACCTTGGCTCAGGCTCCAGGTGAATCACATTTTGTTGCCTCAAAATTCTAACCCCCAGCACCTTCAAATGTGACCTTATTCAGAAACAAGGTCCTTGCATTGTAATGAGTGAGAGTAGGGTGGGCCCTGGGCAATATAATTAGTGTCCTCCTTAATAAAAGGGGAAGTTTGGACACACATACGGGGAGAAGGCCCCGTGAAGATGAAGGCAGAGATGGGGTGATGCTTCGACAGCCAGGGAACCCCAAGATGGCCAGCAGCCAGCAGGCGCTGGGGGAGGGTGGACTGGAGTCTCCCTGGAGCCTTCAGAGGGAGCAGGGCCCTGCGCATGCCTGCGTCTTAGACCCCTGCCCTTAGAACAGCGAGAGGATAACTGTCCCCTGGCTGTCTCCGCCGCTCAGATCCTGGTGCTTTTCAGCAGCCAGGAGACTAAGATCGTTTTCTTTACGTTGTAAACTCTCATGTGCACAAAGGATTCCTGTATTTTAAAAAAAAGTGGGGGGGAGGGGACTGGATTGGATCTTTTTATTTCCCCCGGCTGGAATGACCACACGTTCATGGCGGTGTTAATTCACTGTGAAGCCGCGGGAGCACTCCCAGCCAGCCTGCCCAGGTTCCTGCCCGCACTGGGCCCTCCTGTGACACCCCAACCCCATCCTGCGACTGCCCTGGGCGCCTGTGCTCCGCTGCCACTCTCCCTGGTGCGACCCTTAGGACCCCGACTGGGTGTGGGCCCTGCTTCCCACCTACCTGGGCGCTGGGACTGTCATTCCTGGGCCCGGCACTCGGGCGAGCTCTGCACCAGGCCACCGCTCAGGGGAGGCCTGGAACCCATCAAACCACAGAGACCCTTACAAAACCGGCTCCCTCCCTCAGTCGTGGCCCTGGCGACCCTCCTGTTCCAGGTTTGCGCTTTCTACCTAAATGTTCGCTGTGTTCCACTAAACACACGTGATCAGGAGGATGGCCCCACACCATGACCGGTTTTGAGAGTTCCCGGCTGCGTTGCTGGCGTGTGGTTTAGACGCTGTTCCCGCTACTTCTGTTAACAGCTGCCTCTGACATTCTGAACACAGACATGGGCCATCGCATCACCCCTGCTGGGGCCTCTGCCTTCAGGGCCTGGAGACCACTGTGGGGTGAGGGTGTTCCCCCAGCTCCACTCGGGGCCGCCCCTTCCTGGGGGGCCCTTTGGGCAGGAGTCAGGGGTGGGAAGCTATCTCCTTTCTGGGCTCCGGACCCCTGAGCCCAGCTGGTTGGACAGCCTGAGGCCGTCCCTGGACCAGCAACAGGCTGGAGCTGCACAGAGCAGGTGCGGTGTTGGGGTCCAGCCCCAGCAGATCCAGGGGTTCCCCAAGTTGTGGACAGAGTCGGCGAAGAAGGAATGACAGGGAGGCATCATTCAGGTGATCATCATAGCCAGGTTCCTCCTTTTATTGTCCTCTTACGTCTGTATTTATACTATTTGATCTTAATCCTATCCATTCTATTCCAAAGGTTAGGGCGTTTCTTATCTTCATTCCAAGGTCACTACTCTATTGTTCTATTAAGCTACAAGGAAATAACTGAAGGAGATTATTCTAAGTAAAGACTAGCAGCAAGGGTGGACCGGCTTCCGGCAGTGCGGGGGCTGGTCGGAGGGGACAGGAAGCCATAGCGACCTTCAGGGCAGTGAAACTACTCCGGATGATGCTGTGATAGTGGCCACATGTTTTTAGAGAGGGAGGAAGGGAGAGGGAGATAGAACAATGATGAGAAACATGGATCGGCTGCCTCCCGCATGCCCCCTATTGGGAACTGAGCCTGCAACCCCAGCAATTGCCCTGACGGGGAATCGAAAGGTGACCTCTTGGTGCATGGGTCGACACTCAACCACGGAGTCACACCAGCCAGGCAGTGGCCACATGTTCTTATACATGTCTCCCAACCCACAGAACGCTCACACCGCAAACGGGGGACTCTGGGCAATGGTGATGAGTCACTGAGGGTCATGGAATGTGACAGGCGCCCTGCCCCGGGCTGCTGACAGGGGGAGACTGTGCCTGTGTGAGGACAGGGGCTGTACAGGGAAAGCTCTGTGCCTTCTGCTCAATTTTGCAGTGAACCTAAACTGACCTAAAAAATAAAGTCTGTTAGTAGTAAGAGAAAAAGTGCTGCCAGGAGAACGAGACTTAGATGGGCAGCAAGCCCGGAGGGTCCCCCACCCCAGGGCAGGCAGAGCTGGTGAAGCTCCCCCCCCTTCACCCCGCAGAAGGCTGCAGACCTCCCTCCCCCTGGTGGGTTCAAGGGAGAGCACAGGGCGGGGCTGGAGCACCTGCTTCCACAGAGAGAGCAGCCAGGGCCTGGGCTCTCTGCCCTCGAGAAAGGCTGGGAAGACAGGCATCTCCCGGCCCCTCTCGGTGCTTTTGTTACCAAGATTCCTGGACGTTGGACACCACAACATTGATAACAGCATGTTCTTGACAGAGGAAAGGGTGCCACCAGCTGAGACACCCTCACGCCTGAGCGGGCCCTTGTCTCACTGTAGCCAAAGGCCTGGGCACTGCCAGCCCCCAAGCCAGTCTCTGGTGGGCACCATTCAGGAGGGCTGACAAGACCTTGCCAGCCTGTGATGGCCATGGTCACCCCTACTGGAGCAGGTGGGCACAGAGAGTGAGGGCTCAGTGAGCTTGGACCCCAACGTGCGCTCTCTGCTCTGTGCCCAGCCGGAGCCAACACCCACCGCTAAGATCTCTCGCCCGCCCTCAGAACTCCAGGTCCCCTCCGCCTCATCATCCAGCAAGTGTTGGCCTGTCACCTTTGTGCACTGAGAGCGCAAACGGGGAAGGAGAGGCCGTTTGAGGTGGCTGCGCTGTGGCTCAGAGGCTGGGGCTTGTCACCCTCCCTCAGCAAGGACCCCGCGTGCAGTGTGACTGTGCAGGGGACTCATCCCTCCTGGAGAGGCCGCCGGATGAGGGAGGTGCCCAGGGAGGCTGTTGGGTGGGGAAGGGAGGGTCCCCAGGTGTTCTTGTGATGCTGGCATCACTCTGTCCAGCTTCGAAGGTGCCTTCTGTTAGGAAAACAAACAACAGGCCCCAAGGGGTCGCCAGTGCTCAGCCCAGGTCACCAAATGGAGCCTTCACACCTAATCTAACTGCAGTTGGGGGAGGAGGGGCACGGTGGTGGGGGGGGTCCTGGGCAGCAGTGGTGAGGTCATCTTCCTGACAGACCCCTGCAGTCCCCCAAAGACAGACGCAGGGATTCCCACGCCCTTCCCCCGCCATCCTGGGCAGCCACTGAGAGCTCCTTTTTGCCTTCGAGGCGGCTGCTGCCCACTCATGAGTCCTTAGATCCAGCCAACTTGATGTTCCCATCTCCTCAGCTGGTTTGGGGGTTGTGACACTCTTACCTGGAATGTCCTGTGCTGCCCCTGGGACGCTGGTCCCTCCGGGAGAGGCCAGGACAGTACTGGACCCTGCAGGACAGACCAGGTGTGTCCCCGTGGCCTCCCAGAGCCAGGGCTTTATTTAACCTTTGTTAAGCCCTAGAGTGCCAGGGAGCATGATCGCGCGCCTCCTGTCTTTTGCCTAAAGTGCCGGAGCGCTATCAAAGCTTCCAAAAGGCGTCCAGTTCTAAGTCTGCCTTGATTAGTGATGATGATATTGCTAAATATGTCAATGTAGTAAAGGTTTCCTTAAGTTTTTGAATATGTAACTTCATTTACTTGCGATTCATAATTTTTTTCCGAAACTGCTGTAAAATCAGCAAAAATGCCTTGGCAATTTTAGCATGGTTCCTAGGATATTGGTTGGCACTCAAAGGGTTAAGCCCCGGAATGCCTTCTCTAAAGGAAGTAAACACCTGAGCAAAGAGGTGCTCAAGGTGACCTTTTCTTAATTCATAATGTTTCGGGAAGAATGCTGGGAGTGGACACGAGACAGAGGCCCCAGCTTCCTCCCTCCTGCACCAAGGGCTCCAGTGGGGGAGAGCCCGGGTCCCCCCACCCCGCACTCCCCTAAACCTCCACCCCCGCACAGAGGGGAGGGCCCTGGTCTTCCCCCCCCCTCCCCCACCTCCCCGCACAGAGGGGAGAGCCCGGGTCCCCCCACTCCGCGCACAGAGGGGAGCATTGGGGCGAGGGGCGGGACTCCCTGCCTTCTGGCAGATGAAGTAACTGGAGACCGGACGGCCAGGCAGGCTCTGGGCAGAATCAGGGTCAGGTTCGGGCTGGAGCTCCTGGCCTGCAGCCGGTCAGCCTGGGCCCCGCCCCTTCCCGGTCCAACCCCGGGAGCCTGAAGCCCACGCAGCGCGCGAGGCTGTGTTCGGATCTGCGCGCTTCCCCTGTGTGGGCGCTGAGCCCCCGCCACCCACCGCCGGGAGAAGGTGGCCGCGGGGGACAGCGGTCTCGGGGTTCCGGCCTGACGCCAGCAGGACGGCTCCGAAGTGTCAAAGCAGGTGCTTGAGTGAACGTCCCGGCTGCGAGGTCCAAAACGGAGCCCACACCGGGCGGCTTCTCAGTTCACTAGGAGAAATCAGAGCCACGCACGTTCCGCGGCGCCCGGCCCAGGGCAGGCTCTCCCGACCTCCCTGGGCCAGTGGGGCAGCCAGAGCGGGGCTGTCCATCTTCGCAGCGAGTGTCTCAGGACGTCCCGCTCTAAGGCTCCGAAAACCTGTTAGCCACGCAGACGATGCCCCGCCCGGGAGCCCCGCATCCGGCCGGTGGGGGTGGGTGGGCCGGCCCTCTCAGTTCGCAGGCTCCCAGGGGATCATCAGAGCCCCCCCGCCCCCCACCTTCCCGGAACCCAGCCATTCTGTTTCGTTTCTGCCGCCTTCAGCGTCATTTCTGTGGTTTCGTTTCTCTGGCTGTTGCTGAGGGAAAAGCCGTGGAGAGGCGTGACCCACACAGCAAATAAAGGGAGCGGTGGAGGAGAGAGGGGTCTGCGGAGTCTCCATCCCGAAGTCCTGCAGGCTCGCAGGTGAGGGCCGGCGCGGGAGGGCTGCCTTAGCTCGTCTGGAGGATTTCCTGGTAAACCGGCCGGTGTCCTAGGCAGGAGCCATAGAGGTAAGTTTCTGCTGCTGCCCTTTGTGCCGCTCACTAAGACCCCTGATGGCGCTGGGGGAGCCCAGGGGGCCCCCTCTTCCAGAATCCGGCTCAAGGCGCAGTGGGCGGGGAGGAGTGGCTTTTGGGACACCTCGGCCCAGCGTCGGTAAAGTGCACACTCCGGGGTTGGGGTGGGGCTTTGTGGGTGCAATCCTGTGATTTTATGATAAGAAATAGACAAGAAATAGGCTGAGTGCAGTCACCATGCAGTCACAGATTTTTACTGTAGTTTCATCCCCACCCTGAACAATCCTGGACTGAGGACTTGCGAGTTGCTAAGAGAGAAGATCTTAAAAGTCCTCATCACAAGAAAAAAAGAAAAGGTTGTAACTGTGTATGGGGATGGATGTTAACTAGACTTACTAGCGATCATTTCACAATAGATAGAAATATTGGGGGGGGGAGAAATATAGTCTATGTCTTGGTCTGTGTCTCTGTTCCTGTCACAGAACTTCCTAAGACAGTGATGGTGAACCTATGACACGCGTGTCAGAGGTGACACGCGAACTCATTTTTTTGGTTGATTTTTCTTTGTTAAATGGCATTTAAATATATAAATAAATATCAAAAATATAAGTCTTTGTTTTACTATGGTTGCAAATATCAAAAAATTTCTGTATGTGACATGGCACCAGAGTTAAGTTAGGGTTTTTCAAAATGCTGACACGCCGGGCCCAAAAGGTTCGCGGTCACTGGCCTAAGAGCTGAGAGTGCGAGTGCGGGGTTAATGGGTGATGTTTACGCTGCACCTGGGGGGCCGGTGCCTGGAACAAGCCCTGTGACAGAGTCGGAACTTTCAGCTCCGCCCCCAACCTCCAGGGGAGGGAGCTCACTGGCTGGTGGTCGATGATTGCACCAATCATGGCTCTGTGCTGAAGCCTCCGTGCAAACCCCAAAGGACAGGGTTCGAGGTGCGGAGAGCTCCTGGTTGGGGAACTGGTGGAGGTCTGGGAGGGCAGCGAAGCTGGAGAGGGTGTGGCAGGCCCGTGCCTCCCCCTCGCCCGGCCAGTGTGGCTTTTCCCTGCGCTGTTCCTGCGTTACATCCTCTTATGATAAGCCGGTGATCTGTAAGCACCGGGTCTCTCTCTGAGTTCTGTGAGCCGCTGTAGCAAATTATTCAGAACCAAGGAGGGGGTCCTCAGCACCTCTGATCTAGAGCCAGTTGGTCAGAAACACAGGTGACAACCTGTGGATGGGAGGGGGCATGGGCAGGCAGGAGCAGTCTCATGGGATCCAGCGCTGTCTCCAGGCAGAGAGCACTGGTGCCATGGGGGTGGGTTGGGGGGGAGGAGAACACATGTGGGTGTTGATGTCAGATCGGAGCCCCGTAGCCTGGTCTCCGGATTCAGTCTCGGGGTTCAGGCGCCCTCTGCTGTGGTGCTGGAGGCACAGGGCCACCTCAGAGATGGGCTGGAAAACTCGCTCTCCTGAGGAACTGGGGCACTGATTTCTGTGTTCAATGATTACGCCTTCAGATTTTTAAAAAAATATATTTTATTGATTTTTTTTACAGAGAGGAAGGGAGAGGGATAGAGAGAAACATCGATCAGCTGCCTCCTGCACACCCCCTACAGGGGATGTGTCCGCAACCAAGGTACATGCCCTTGACCGGAATCGAACCTTGGACCCTTGAGTCCGCAGGCCGACGCTCTATCCACTGAGCCAAACTGGCCTGGTTTTTCTGTAACACTGACTTATCCAGTTCAGGCCCTTCCTGCACTTCAGTTTCTTGACTTGGAAAGTGCAGAAAAGCAGCCACCACAAGGAGCTGTTGTCCAAACAAAAGGAGCATCTCAGAGTGGCCCTCAGGCACCAGCTGTTTCTATAACGGGGCTGCCTGGACCTGACTGCAGGCCTCAGCACCGCTCCTGCAGCACCCCTCCCAGGCTCCCCAACGGTCTGACCAGGCCTGGGTGATAAACAGTGGCCGGAGGGCAGGCGCTGGCTTCCAGGGGCCTGGGGGATGCTGCCTCAAGTCTCCCCACACCTAACAGTCCCCTGTTTGCTCCTGAGCCACAGGCATCTCCAGGATAACGTGGAGCCCCCTGCCTCTCATCCCCAAGCCCTGGGGCCCATGGACACCCCACTCTCTATGCTGGGGTCCTGGTCTCCCCGAGTCTGTGTGTAGAGGGAAGTGGGGGGCTGTGCTGGGGCTGGCGAGGTGCAGCCTGGGCAACTTGGGGCCACCCCGTCTGTGTCTCTGCAGAGCTCTCCAAGAAGCACCTGCCGGCTCCCCTGGCCATCAGCTAATGCCGAAAAGCCACAAGTTTGGGCAGCAGCCGAGGCACAACCTGCTTCCCTCCCCGTCCTCTCCAAAGGCAGAAATGAGTTTCTTCCCGCAGCAGCCATCGCCATTCGGCGCCCCAGGAGGACAAATTAGGCTTCCCCACAACATGATGGGTTCTCCCCAACTGGGAGAGAAGAACCCAGGCTTCCTCACCAAGAACTTCAACTTGATGACATTGAACCCTCAGATGCCAGGAGAAACCAGGAGCCCTGAGAAGACAAAGGTGAGTGGGAGGGAGAACGTTCTGGAAGGGCGCGTTATAGCCACCAGCTGAGGAAGGATGGGGCTGTAGGGGAGACCGCCGCCACCAATGTCACAGCTGTGTCCCCAGCTCTCCAGACACATCCCGCAAACACCAGGGACATTCCAGTCTCTGGGGCAGCGGCGACCTTCCTGGGCCTGCGTCTGGGCTTCTGTTCCATGCTGTTCCACGTGTCGGGGTCTCCTTCCGGGAGCTTTTCCTCCAGCTCCTCCTGCCACCGTCATGATTGGGGACCCTCCCCCAGGGCCCAGGACCCAGCTCCCCTCCTGCCCTTCTGGGTCCCTTCTCTCTGCTCAGCCAGGCCCCTCCACCCTCAGCTAAATATCCCCGCTTCTGCAGAAGCAAAGCCTCAATAGCAACAGAACGCAGGGGCCTCCTGCCTGCAGCCAACATGAGCAGACGCCCAAATTCTGCAGCAAATTCGCCGCGGCCCTGGGAGCCTTCTCAGAGGCCAGGGGTGTGAACTCTGCTCTGCCTCTCCCAGGGGCTCGAGAACAACCTGTACACCCAGTACGAGGAGAAGGTGCGCCCCTGCATCGACCTCATCGACTCCCTGAGGGCCCTGGGCGTGGAGCAGGACCTGGCCCTGCCCGCCATCGCCGTCATCGGGGACCAGAGCTCGGGCAAGAGCTCCGTGCTGGAGGCGCTGTCGGGCGTCGCCCTTCCCAGAGGCAGCGGTAAGCACAGAGGGGCCACAGAGCATCTCTGGGTACCAATGGTGTCAGGCCACTGGGAAGGCCCGGGAGGGCAGCGCCTGCAGGCCCTGGGTGACTTAGGTCTTCACCACCAGGGACCTGGAAAACCAGCCCTGGATGCCCCTTGGACCCTCCTTCGGGATGTCCAGCTCCCCCCAGGCTCTCGCTGCCTTCTCCCGCATCCTGGGAGGGTTGGGCGTCCATCATCTTCGGGTGGATCACTGCTTCCGTCTCTCCCTGCCCTGAGCTACCGCCTGGACACACGCGGTCCAGAGGCCAGTGCCCGAGGTGTTTCTAGGGCCGGGTGGTGAGTGGGGGGCCTGGATCGGGCCCTACACAGGGACAGACATTTCAGGCGAGGCCTCTGGGGACTCCTGAGCGGTGAGAGGGAAGGGCACCTGTGACACTTCTTTTATTTATTTACTAGAGGCCTGATGCACGAAGATTCGTGCAAGAATAGGCCTTGCTTCACCTGGCTGCTGGCAACGCCTTCGCTCCCGCCAGAGCCGCCTTTCTGCCTTCCCACGCTGCCCAGAGGCCCAGAGTGGCTGGGGCAATGCAGACACGCGGCGATGGCTATCGCTGGCCCTGGCAGTCCAGGTTCCGGGCCCCTGCTGTTTCTCCCCTGTGGTCGAGGGAGTGCAGAGCATTTCTTCTTAGATCATGTAAATTTGTACGTTTCGGGTGACATGCGAAGTCCTCTTGAAGAATTTGCTCAATGTTTAGAGAAGCTATTAGCCAGGATCATGTGTTTTGCTTTAAAAAGATAAAAAGAAGCTGTTGTGCGGTTTAATAAAATAATTGCAAAGGGGAGAAGCAGGAAAGAGACAGGCTCCTCAAAGTGGGTAGACAGAGGCCCCTCCTGGCCTCTCCCTGGCTCCTGGCTCCCACCAGCACTGCCATAGCTAGACCCCAGCAGACCCAGGGGCTAGGAGGCACCAGTGGCACCCCACTGGGGCTGCCTGACACCCCCCCTACCCTGTCATAGGGGAGGGTGTGGGGACACCAGAGGGTGGCACAGCCCCCAACAGTAGTCTGCACACCAGGGGTCTGGGGGTCCTCTGAGGTCCCCATTAGCTGGCACCTGATGCCTAAGAGCAAGAGTCTGGGACACACGCCTCTGCCCTGGGTTCAGCGTTCTGGGGAGAGGGGTGCCAGGGTGGGAGGCTGCATGCCAGTGGCAGGCATGTGGTCCAGGGCAACTCCAGGCTGGATGAGGAGGTGATCCTCCCGCAGGGGACAGGCTCACTCACCACCTGCGGACACTCTGGCCTCAGCCTGTAAGCTCAGGGCAGTCCCAGCCTTTGGCGTCAGCTGCG